TAATGGCTGCCCCCGTGTTTTTATTGTTTTGGATGGTTTTCTCAGGGTATAGTTCTGTTTTTTGAATTGAACTCTGTTGCAGCCTCCATGCCAGAGGACAACATGGTATTTAAACAATAATGTACACATTTTTTTTTTACAAATTTTTTTTTTCAGCATTGCCATTTTCATGAATATGCAGTTCATAAGTTGCTCACTATAGCAGTTACAGATTATACTTAAAGACATAGTTCAACCAAAAATAGCCCACTTGTTGCTTTAAACCCGTTTAAATCTGTGAAACATTAACCTCTATTTAGATCCCATTTTCAAAGATTCTCTGAGATAAACAGTCAAAGGCAAATATGTTTTTTTAAGGTAGCTGTATTGTTGTTTTAACACTTGGCATCTTTCCCAGCTTCATAAATTCTGTCGTATGTATTTGAGTTTGTCTAGGTCAGTTCAGTAGCATTAGTCCACCTCTTTCTGATGCATGTGATAGAAACATAATGGCAACACCTTTTCTATCACCTTGTGTAACTAAGGTGCTAAAAGTGCCTCTTTTTAACACTTCACTTGATAAAAACTCATTGTCATATTAGAAAAGCAGTGCACTTTAAAGACAGCTCATTACTTTTCAACACCACATGCATTATTAGCTGGCATATGAGCAAAATATTTTTTTTTTCTTTTCAATAATTCCTGTAAAAAGGAAACCAAACGTCCTCTGAGAGCTAATACAATTAAAAAAAATAATAATTTCCAAGAAACTCCTGCTGCACAGAATCCAAAGTCCGCGACCAGGCAAGGTAATATCCCATTAGTGCTTGCATGTACATAACTTAAGGGGTTGAAGTGGGGCTGAAGTTGAATGTAAGGTTATGCTACAGTATGTACTCTAGGGTTATATGAGTTTCCTAAGGAGAACACTCTTCTCAGAAGTTGCTTATTTTTAATGGAGTGATGGGTAAATGCAGAATAAGCTCTTGGTCCGGCCTGATAAGGGACTTACTGGACACTGCACTTAAAAAAAAAAAAAAAAAAAAAATCCTGTTTTGGC